GCAGGGCAGGGCCAGGGCAGGGGCAGGGCAGGGCAGGACAGGGCAGGACAGGACAGGGCAGGGCAGGGCAGGGCAGGGGAGGGCAGGGCAGGGCAGGAGAGGGCAGGGCAGGGCAGGGCAGGGCAGGGCAGGGCCAGGGCAGGGGCCCCTGAACTCCCCGTATACGGGGAGGCTTACCCCCCTCACCGTTCTGACAGGACGCTCGGCCGGGGCCTTGGTCGGAGCCTCGAGCGCCCATGCAAATGGTCAGCGGCGCTCTCGGCAGTTTAGGGTTTCGGGTTTAGGGCAATACCTCTCAACATAATGAGTGCCTCGAGCTTTCGAACAGCCTTCAAAAGCCCCTGCTGAATTCTCGACCCTCGCACCCTAGAAGCCCTAAACCCTAAACCCTGAACCCTAAACCCTAAACCCCAAAGCCCTAAACCCTAAACCCTAAACCCTAAACCCTGAACCCAAGATCCAAAGGCCCTAGGATCCACAGCGGAACGGGGCCCCCACAAAGCGCGGCACGACCTCCGCAGCGAAGCACGCCTTCGCTGCCTATCAATCCAGGGAGGGCCACAAAGCTTCTTTGCCCTTTAGGGTTTAGGGGTTTAAGGTTTAGGATCTTTCAAAAGGGTTTAGGGTTTAGGGTTTAGGGGTTTAGGGGTTTAGGGGTTTAGGGTTTAGGGTTTAGGGGTTTAGGGCTTAGAGTATCAAGCTTCTTTTGAAGGAGCACTTTAAAAGAGCCCTGAAGGGCTCATCTAGTTCATTTAAGGGCTCCTTGAGGGCTTCCTTTGAGGTATCAGGGTTCCTTTAGGGGTCCGTGCGCCCTACCCCCCAACCAAACCCGAAACCCCAAACCTTAAGCCCCAATCCTAAACCTAAACCCCTAAACTCCCACACCTTCATCCCTAAACCCCTAAACCCTAAACCCTAAACCCTAAACCTAAACCCCTGAACCGCCACACCTAAACCCCTAAACCCCTAAACCCCTAAATCCCGGATCTCCAAAAGCCCTAACCTCAAAGCCTAGAAACCCTCAGCCCGAGGCGACTCCCAACATGCTTCTCAAGTTTAAAAAATCCTATCCCCCCCCAACAAAAAAATCGCACAAGGGGTCCTCTAGGGTTCTGCAACCAGGGTCCCCTCTAAGGGGTACCCACAGGGGTATCTCTCTAAGTTAGGGTCCCTTTTCGGGTTTATCCTCTTTATAAGGGCGCCGCACTACTTTGGGGGACTCCGGGAGGACCCAAATTTGAGAACGAACCCATCAAGGCGCACTGTCACGTACTCCGAGATCCCTTGCAGGATTTGGGGTTTAGGGTTTAGGATTTAGCTAAAACCCTAAAACCCTAAACCTTAAAAAACCTAAATCCCTAAAACCCTAAAAGCCTAAAACCCTAAAACCCTAAACCCTAAAACCCCTAAATCCCTAAAACCTAAACCCCTCGAAGCATGGCGTAGCCGGCTGAGGAACCCCTAGAAAGCCCGGAAAGAGGAACCGAGACGGGTTCTGGAGCCCTCCAGTGAAGCCCAGCGGCATCATAGCGCTCAAGGAGGTCGACAACCTTCCTGGGACTCCGGCTTCGCAGTTAGAGAAGTGGTTGAGGGTTTCGGGCTTTGGGGCTTGAGGGTTTAGGGCTTTAGGGCTTGAGGGTTTAGGGCTTTACGGCTTCAGGTTTAGGGCTTAGGGCTGGAGGGTTTAGGGTTTAGGGCTTCAGGGTTTAGGGTTCAGGGTTTGGAGCTTAGGGCGCTTAGAGCCTTGAGGGGTACGGGTCACAGTTAAGATTCGCCATCCCACAACCCTCAACCCTGGACACCAAAAAGCATCAGTAGATAAGACCCATGAGGAGCCCCGTGTTCGGTCGAAAACTCCTTGTCAGGTCTCCTCCATTTCAACACATCTCCAAGCCCCACCTTAAGCGGCCCAGGGTTTAGGGCCGTTCAGGGTTTTTTTACTCTCTCTGTAGAGTTTAGCGCTTTTCGGGCTGAGGGTGTGTCAATTAAGTTGGAGGCTTAGGGTTTCTAGGGTTTGGGGTATAGGGAAAGAACACCCTGCGATTGCGCTGCAGCAGAAGGTCGTCAGCATGCGCTGTCCATAGGTGGCCGTACCTTGGAGAAGTGACCGACCGAGGCTCTCTTCCGGTGTGCTTTGGAGTTGAACTTTTGGTTGAGGGTCGTCGGTTGAAACTTAAGGTGTCAGATTTAAATGGGCATACGTAGGGTCCACTGCTGCTGCTACTGCCACTCCTACTCCTGTTCCTGCTCCATGTACTACCACGACAACGATGACGAAGACGACGACGACTACTACCCTTGCTGTTGCTCCTCCTGCTGCTGGAGTCACTGGCGACGATTCCAAGTGCTCTTGCCTTGCTAAAGGAATGCTCTTGCAGTTGGTGCAGCATTGCCTCTTATGGTTCTGAATATGTTGAATATGGTTTAAGAGGAACTGCCTAAGGCTCCTTACCCCTAAACCCTAAACCCTAAACCCCAAACCCTAAAGCCCTAAACCCTAAAGCCCAAACCCGAAGCCCTAAACTTTAAACCCTAAGCCCTAAACCCCAAACCCGAATCCCTAAACTTTAAACCCTAAGCCCTAAACCCTAAACCCTAAACCCCAAACCCTAAAGCCCTAAACCCTAAACCCCAAACCCGAAGCCCTAAACTTTAAACCCTAAGCCCTAAACCCCAAACCCGAAGCCCTAAACTTTAAACCCTAAGCCCTAAACCCCAAACCCGAAGCCCTAAACTTTAAACCCTAAGCCCTAAACCCCAAACCCGAAGCCCTAAA